TAGAATGTAAAGTTCCATCTGCATCAAAAAGAAACTTTATTTTCTATAGTGCTATCAAATTGATTTGCTTGAGTAACATCAGTATTTCTGTTTCAAAATGTCATCTGTCCTCATAAACATACTAAGTTTCATACAAATTTGATGATGAAAGGCTGTACAATTATTTCAGGAGATTTCAGCTGATAGAAGAGAAATGCAAGGAAAGATATTGTGAATGTATTCCTACTGATGCTATATTTGTACAGAGTATTTTGGTAGAGGTTGGTAGAAATTTGAATACTAAGGTTAGTTTGTGAACCAGCCTCAATAATTAGTATGAAATACAGGGAGATGCTTTGAACATATATATATCACTCAATAAATAAAAGGTAAAAAAGCATAAAATAAAGATAATGTTACAGATAAGTCACCTCTTGTCATGTAGCAGGTAAAACAAGAAACTGAAAAGCTTGAGAAAATAAGTGAAAAAATCATCATAGTGCCTCGTTTAAAAAACATGAATTTTTGTAATACAATATACATAAATACATTCCTAGAGCCGTAAGTGCAACAACACTGAAGCAGTGGGTTGCATCCTGGCAGAAAGATGCAAAGTATCATTGGACTACAACTCTATTAAATATTCCCCATATATCATTATGCCTAATAGCAAGGTTTCATTAAACCAGAGAATTTTCACAGATTTTCCTTCTGTTTACGTCTTGTAATTTACAAGAATATATTTCCCTTATGTTTCTTTTAAAACTTTTCAACGATATAATTCTAACACATTTTTTAATTTATTTTTTAAAAAAATTAAAAAGTACTTTTGTAGAATTGATATTTTTGTGTGGAATTGGATCATTCTCTTCAATATTTAGAAATTTTGAAATATAGGAATCCATGTTCCAACCATTCAAGAAAATTCCTGGCACTCGGCTTGTGTTATTGTCTTATTCGCAATATTTTAAATGGCTATAAAAACGGATGTAAACATCGTACAAAATAAAAGGCATCATGTGATAGATGTCGTCAAGGGCTATGATTTTTGTTCAGGCGACATAGTCACCACAGGTCAAAGTCACGAGATATGAGCCTTAAAAGTTTTGAAAATTGCTGTTATTGAAAGCCTATAAAACCGAAAAGATCATAGATCAAAACATGAATTGACTATAGATCAATGACTTTTGACCTTGAAAAGGTCAAGGTCATCAAAGATGAAGGTCAAAAATGAAAATTTAGTCAATTGTAAAACCCATTCCTTTTTTAAAAGTAAATAGATAGATAATAGATAGTAAATAGATTTATCTTCTTACGATATTGCTCAAACTAGTGATTATTTTCCTGCAAAATATTATTGGTGAAAAATGTATACTTTACTAGTTATGATAAATTACAAATATATAATATATATGTAAATCTAACCCGGATGTGCCACGCCTACCCCCAAAATTTGCTATGTCTGCTATCATGTGTACAATGTTAAATGATGTTAAAAATTTCAAGCATCTACAATTATTAGATCATGAGATATTCGTTGTTATACATTAAAAGTTTGAGTTTATACGGCAAAAACCATATTACGCACAGTTACTATAGACGTCTGTGTAAAATTAAAAAATTTTAAAAGTGCAGTATTGATCAATATATCAAATGTGATATATCTTCAGAAAGGAGAAATCGCACACATCAAGGAAATAAAATAAATTTTGTCGTATGATAATTAGGTCACGTGACAGAGCTCTTTAAAGATAAAAATTGCGATTTTCAAATGGCTCTAGAACTGGAAGTTAACATCGCAAGACAAAGTTAAATATATTTTTAGATAGATCTTGTTAGGGGCCACTACATTTGTGCAGGTCACAAGGTCACCAAAGGTAAAGGTAATTAGATATAAGCCTTAACTTTTTGACAATGTCTGAAGAAATAAAACCGGAAATTAATAAAAAGCAATCGACTTCCAAAATTTTGTTAGCAATATTCAATATACACTAATATCACACACATCGGCTTTGCCCCTGAGACCTCATTTTAAGTTTTATAAAAATTGGTCATATCAAGATGGCGTCTGATTCTATACTTTCGGGTCAAATTTATTCATTTCAACATCTTTATGGGGACTATTCGAACTAATTGCAAAAAGAATTTTTAAAATATCTGCAAAATTCTGGAAGTTGAAATTTCAACTTTACGAGCCATAATTTCAAAACCGGAAGTGATATCGAAACTTTGAAAATTGATTTTAGTTAGCAATCAAAATGTCTATCTGGAAGTTTTCATATCGATCGAAATAAAATTGTAGAAGTTAGAAAAAAGTGAAAAAACTAAAAAATTGAAGCTTAAAAAGTCAGCGACAAAAGTCAAAATTTAAAAACTTTGAATTGCTATCTTATAGATATTAGCGCAATCTTATTAACAAAAAAAGATCGATTATAATCCGATCAAAATTAGAGCCGTAAATTAGAAAAAATGTAAAAAATGGTTTTTATCCTACGTCACTTCCAGTTTGAAAAAAATGCGTGAAAATACATTCATCAGATTTAGTATCGCGGCATTAACGGGAGAAATTGTAACATTATATATTATGTGGCATGTGTAGTTTTGCCTGGGCGCGCCGACAAGAATTCAAAAAAGAAAAACTAGATCCACAGGCTTCGCTGGTTCTGAAGCAGTGCGTAACAGTTTTGATTATACGCTTAAAACTGTGCCGCAAAGTATCGTAATAGTAACATAAATTCCTATCATAATTAACTGGATATAGATCGCCCATACGCAAAGCATATTCGACAGATCACTTCAACTCACATTATTTAAATATTCCTTAACCTACTGTTTTCAACAACAGTTGAAGGGAGCAAACTCCGACAAACAACCTTTATCTTTTAGACCACGAAAAACTAACAAAAGGAACAAAGACTTTTTTCAAGATAAAATTCATCAATTTCAAATGGCGATAAAATCGGAAGTAAACACCGTACAATAAACGTTAATATACCATTGGATAGATCTTAGTCGAGAGTTATCAAAATTGCTCTGGTTACATGATCACCAAAGGTCAAGGTCACGATTTACGACCCTGCAAAGTATTCATATTTTCAACTGGAAATAAATAAAAAGCAAAATCAAAATTTAAAAATCGGTTCTCAAATATTATTTAGCAATCAATAGTAGATACCATAGACATCAAATTTACTCAAATTGGATAACCCCCTTAGACCTCATTTCGATTTAAAGAAAATTACGCACAGTTACTATAGAAGAAAGTACAAAATTTTCAAATACTAGAAAGCGCAATTTTGGTTGAAATGTCTAGTGTTATACATCATTACAAAGGGCAGATGAACACTAGTAAGATTCAATAAGAATTTTTTGCGTATGTAAATTAGGTCACGTGACAGAGCTCTGTAAAGATAAAAATCATAATTTTCAATTAGCTATAAAACCAGAAGTAAGCATTGGAAAGCAAATATGGGTATATCACTGGATATATATCATCAAGGAAAACATATTTGGTTCAGGCCACAAGGTCACCTAAGGTCAAGGTCACGAAATAGGAGCCTTTGAAGTTTTGGTCAATACCGAAAAATTTAAACGGAAATAGAAGAAAAGCAAAATGGAAATTCAAAATTCGGCTTCCATACTTTTTTTCTCAATCGATTGTGATATGCAGATATACCAAAATTATGAAAAGCCTCTTACCCTGAGGCCCCATTTTGAATTTTACAAAAGTTTGACATATCAATATGGCGGCTACATGTTCGAAATAAAAGTGTCCCTCTGGAAGTTTGACATATCAATATGGCGGCTACATGTTCGAAATAAAAGTATCCCTCTGGAAGTTTCCAGATTGATCAAAATAGAATTGTAGTTAGAAAAAAGGTTAAAAAACTCAAAAATTGGAGCTCAAAAAGTCAGTGACAAAAGTCAAAATTGTCGAGTTTTTCAATTGGTATCTTGTAGTCGTTAGCGCGAAGTTATAAACAGTATAGTTTGAGCCCACTTCAAAAATTTTGTGTTGTTTCTAAAGTAGTATATGTGATTATATATATTGCGGCTCAGATATGGTGGGTCAGATATGGTGGTTAGATATATCGATTTACCAAAAACAATTTTTTCCAAATTAATCACTCCACCCATCATCACAATCTCTTTTACCTCATACTCTCCTACACACCCCACATTCCATCAACCCCCACCCAAAAAAGAACCTATTCACCCTACATTTCATTATTAAACTAAATAATTAAAAATACCCTGATACAAAATAACTTCCTTGTTTCGCTTAACATCCGGTTTTTAATAGCCTCTTTTTAAATAATGTTATTTATAGTTTTAATCCAGAAACTTCTAGAAGGGAGATAACTCTTGGTTTGGAAAAAAAACAGAACACAATTTTTTCGTTAAATTAATTGAAAATAGCATGAGTGTAATTCTAAAACACGAACAACATAAATTCGACGATTATTCGGGCGACGGGTTTTTTCATCAATATTTTCTCTAGGTAAAAAAATAATTCCAAAAGTAGCTAGCTTTGTTTCAAACAACAAATCACTTATTTCATCTGGTGCGAAAAGTATAGGATCTGTCGCGCAAGCGGGAAAGAGTATAAGCGAGGCAGTGAAACAATCTGACGAGTTGAAAGAATTACAACTAATAAGAGATCTGCGTAACAGGAGATTAGAAGAAAGGAAAGGAAAAGGTTTTAAAGTTATAGGATAAAAATGATAGTCGTTCACCCTCCAAAAACTTATTTCGGTTCAGATATACAAAAATCATTAGGCTCTCTTCCTGGATTTCCTTGGGCAAAATACCCTGGAGAAAAACATCTCCCCGGTCATAATTGTACTGGTCCAGGTACTAGGCTAGATCTACGATTAGTCTTCCACAAACATCTTGTTTGGGCATGGTTCTTCTGATAAATTCAGGCATGATGAACAAAAGCAAGAAAGATTTCTGACACTGATTTTGGTTATTGCCCATTCCGTTCAAATTGTGAATCTGCCTGGTGCCAGTGACTGTTTTTAGTGCTTATGATGGGAACGATTGATTAATATCACTTGACTGATCAACTTGAACGACCGAAGAGTGTGAGTATGAAACTGTTTTGGAATTCCATACATTGTACTCAGATAATTGTACATGGATTCAGCACTCTGTATTATTACATCTCCAGACATGACATCATCATCTACAATTCGTTTGACAACACCACCACAGGCATCACATGGACCTTTCCCATGACAGGAACCAAAGTAAGCTCGCTCATCAGGTGCTTCAGCAGCAAAATAAAATGGCAGTTTAGATTTATATTGAGCAGAGCAACCATCAGACCATACAATCAATTTCTCAATTCCAAGATTTGCAGCATAATCTCTAGTTTCCTTCAAAATTACTGACACCATGTTGGAATCATGCTGAAGGTCATCTGACAAGAAGATTATGTAATCGGTGATCTAGTAGGATGAACTATAATCTGGTTGTATGCCCAGTGGGCTGATTGCACCTCATCTTGATATTTGCAGAGATAATTCTCTGCAAAATCACAAACAACAACTGATGTGGCTTTAATGGATGGTAATTGACTGATTCAAGAAAGAATGATAATGAATTCATGAATAATGAATATTTTGTGAAGATAAAGGGTTGCCATATTTTTGAAGCAAGCAATTTCAAAATGGACTTATGTACCTATTATATTTAAAACCCTGGATTTTATGCATCCATTCCAAGATAAGCTACATATTTTGTTTTATTTTTGCTTCACTATATTGTTACTATGTTTCCTTTTGAATTACGTTCATGATAAGCTTTCAAATTTTTTTCCTGGTGTCTTCTCCACTTTTGTGACATCCAGCCATTTCCACTTTTGTGACGTCCAGCTCCTTTCGCTTTTGTAGCCTCCATTTTGCTGTTGTTCATCTACAACTTCAGATTTTTGTTTCTTGGATAATCTTGTTGCTGGTTTGACAATCTTAGGAACTTCCAAGTTCAAAGATTTCTTCTTAGCTCTATAAAAATTATAGCATAAACACATAAATATACATTTAGGGGCAGGGATCTATTCTTGATCATTGCGAGAAAGATTTCAAATGCTATGGTAGATGTGATGATGGGGGTGTGGGGTTTTGGGATGAAACTTTTCCTTGTCATAGTGTGGTGTCTAAGATGGTTGTATGGGGGAAGATATCATATAATATATTGCTATTTAAACTTCCTTTAAAATCAAACACTAACTAACTTTTCTACATCCGCAGTCTTGCCAATTCTCTTGTTCTTTGAATTTCTTCATCAGTTTTTACTTTTCTTCTATTATTCTTGTTTCTTTCCACATCTTTCTGCCTTTGTACTTCATATCGACCTTCATCTTTTTCAAATTTTCTCTGTACAGTTTGCAGTTCTCAGCATTGGACTTGGGCTTTTCTTTATCATTTGGTTCATCAAAAATTAATTTCATGGACAAAAAATTTTTTTAGTCGATCGCATTGATAAAATGGTTTCGTAGGAACTGTCGCTCTTTTACGCTTGATAAAACATTGATTTCTCGTTCAAACAATCTTCTTTTGTAAAACTAAAGCGTGAAAAGCTGACACAAGCACATCACTTACCGTTTCTTCGGAAAGTAGCCATCTTGTCACAGTGACTTGCCAAATTCGGAATGCCACGGATGTACACAGTATTCGTAGCCCCAGTCTTCCAGTGAATATCACTGGGTGGTAAAATAAAGGCCTTTCAGTCGATCGCAACATATGGACAAAATTTTTACTGTGCACCATAAAAGTAATTTATTATATTTCCTAGAATAGCTCAGGATTTCAAACAATGGTTCTGCATATTTAAATGTCTTTTTCATCACTTAGTTCGATGTTTCGCCAAGGGCTTGTTAAACAGGGCTATACACTCGATCATTTTTACGTGGTATTAAATGGACAAAGTAAATTACGATCGACCAGTACTTTTTCAAACAGCAATATTTATATATATTTTTCGACAGAGATCGATGTTGAGATGTTTCATCAACTTACCAACTCATTATTATTCGATGTACGTAACACAAGTGACGTTTATTAAGAAATAAGATATTTACAAAACACAGAAGACATAAGCTCACCAGGTGATGTTCATAACCATGAGGACTTCAAATTGACAAGAAATCAAAATGAAAAAACGCTTTAACAGTCCACTTTAAGAGACCAATATTCTTCAATTACAAAAGGACAGAGGACAGAGAGTTATTGCCCTTGATGTAGTAAAAACGCGTTAGATTTGGCTTGTATGCACGATAGAGGCCGCGATCTTGATGAAACTTAGTATGCTTGTAGATATTGATGAGTCCTCAGTCAAGTTCGCTATTGGTAATAATCGGATAAACGGTTTCAGAGTTATTGCCCTTGACTCAGTAAAAATGCGTTAAAATTGCCTTGTATGCCCAATGAACTCTACTATTTTGATCCCATTTTGATGAAACTTAGTATTCATTTTGGTAATAATTGGATGAACGATATCAGGGTTATTGCCCTTCACTTAGTAAAAATACATCATAGACTAAAGTTTTTATTCGATATTGATGAAACTTAGTATGCATGTATATATTGATGAGATATCAGTCAAGTTTGAATTTGGTCATAATCCGATGAACGGTTTTGGAGTTATAGCCCTTGATTTAGTAAAAACCCTACAAATTTGGCTTGTAGTCATGATACAGAGTGCAGTTTTTATCTGATCACGATGAAACTCGGTATGCATGGAAAAGATCTCAGTCAAGTTAAAATTGGTAACAATCAGGTGAACGGTTTTGGAGTTATTTCCCTTGAATTAATCCAATGCGTCTAAAGCTCAGTAAAGCTTGAAATTAGTAAAAATAGGATGATTGGTTTCACATATTAAACCACTACAGATTTTATCATTTCTGACAGCTGGTAGTGGGCGTATGTTACCTTGCCTGGCAAGCTATCTTTGAACTTGAGATCTCATCAATATATACATGCATACCAAGTTTCATTGAGATCAGATAAAAACTGCACCCTGTATCATGACTACAAGCAAAATGTTAAGCGTTTTTACTAAATCAAGGGCAATAACTCCAAAATCATTCCTCCGATTATGACCAAATTCAACCCTGACAGAGATCTTATCAATATATACATGCATACCAAGTTTCATCAAGTTCGGATAAAAACTGTAGTTTATATCGTGCCTACAAGCCAAATTTGACATGTTTTTATACGCCCACATGAAATGGGGGGTGTATATTGCCGTCACCTCTTTCCACAATTGCTGGTAAACACTCTAGAAGGCACAATTCTTGATGGATTGTAACGAAATTTGGCATGAGTGTTTGTAATCACTTTGCTGAAGATTGAATATTTGTCTTCTAGAGTTAAAGATGTTTTCAAGAACTAGGGCAATAACTCATACTCAATATTATTCAGTATCGCCCTAAAGAGTTCAAAAGAAGTATATTATGACTGATGGTTGAATATTTCATACTAGTAATTGTTACTGTACTGCTAAATATTTATGTTCAAAATCAAAGCTGCCAGTGGGCGTATATTACCTTGCCTGGCAAGCTATTTTTCAATTTTTTTGCAACTTTTTTGTTTTTGCATCGATTAATCTGAAATTTTATTAAATGCAAAAAGACTTCACTAATGTTAATAATATGATACAGTCAAATTTTGTACGTCATTTCCGCTTTTAAACAGGAAAGCGACTGAATTTCAATTCTACTTCCAGTTGAATAACTTCTGGTGTAATTTATGTAGGTCAACAAAATTTAGCTGATATTTAGCAAATAAAATTCTATGGCCGATTTCTATGTGCTTCTCATGCTCTTTCCAGTGATACATAAAAATCGTATTTTTAAAGCCAAATTGAAATTTGTGATTCAAATTTGTGTGTTTTTTTACAATATTTGTAATGCCAATCAATCCATCAATAACTTTGACAAACTTTCACCCAAGGATGACCCCTATCGAAAATCGGAACATTCAAAAAATAATTAGTATGAATTATTGTCCTTGTTCTTGAAAATGCATTCAATTTTTAGCACCTAAACACTTTAAAAGTCACAATTCTTGATGGATTTTGATGAAACTTGGTGTCAGTGTTTGTAACCACCCAAGGATGAACCCTGACAGATTGATGAAACTTTGTAATATTATTCAGTATTGCCTCAAAAAGTTCAGAAGAAGTGTATGACTGAAAGATGAATATTTCATACTGGTAATTGTTACTGTACTGCCAAATATTTTTATTTAAAATCAAAGCTGACAGTGGGTGTGTATTTCCTTGCCTGGCAAGCTATCTTTAAGGATGTTGGCAGGGAGACCTCATTTCTCAGACGACTAGGTAGCTTATGCCTTATATGCTTATATCACTGTTCGACCAGTAAGTGGCCAATTTTATGCAATTTTATGTTGGCTTAATGCAAGTTAGACTATCAATAAAACGACAAATAGTAATATCTTCATAATTAAAAACTGTTGTTATTATAGTTTGTTGGTAACAGAGATAAATGTGATAAAGAAGATGAAAAACCAATATTTGGCTTAAATGTTGGTAGTGGTAAAAGGTTATGGCCAGTTTTAATTATTGAGCAGGTAAGTCAAATATAATGCAAAATTGACAAAAATTGTATGACAACATATATGTTTGCAAACATGTTGCAAATTTCATAAGTATTATGTTTAAGTCTTGCACACACTTGAGTTAACAGCTTAGCCATTTGTCTCATGTGCTGATTGTCTCAGCCATATGGTTTTACTGCAGACGGTGTAACTTGGCTCACTTGTTGGCTTAACTGAACAGGTCATGTGAATTATTACGTGACTGCTAGCAGTTCATACTGTAAGTAAGAGCAGGGCGTGTTTCATTTTTATATGCCAACATGAAATGTTCAAGTTTTAGTCTGTAAACACTCTAGAAGGCCCAATTCTTGACAGATTTTGAGAAACTTGTTTATATTATTCAGTATTGCCCCAAAAAGTTCAAAAGAAGTGTATGACTGAAGGTTGAATATTTCATACTGGTAAATTGTTACACTACTGCCAAATATTTTTATACAAAATCAAAACTGCCAGTAAGCGTATAATACCATGCCAGGCATGCTATCTTTTAAAATTTCAAAATAATCAAATTTTTGTCACCCTCACCACCCATAACCCCCATCTCATAACCAAGTTTGGCCAAAGTGTTTTGATTTGAAAAGAACCTCTGTTGACACTCTCTTAAGATTGGTATGCCAAACTCTAAAGACCTTGTTTATGACCTAATTATTATGGACCCTATTAAGTTCATATGATATAATTCTTTAAAGATGGGTTTTTCTTGATTAAAAGTAGTCCAAAAGAGATTAAAAGAGCTTATCCATAGATTAATTGGCCTTTCTAGTGATCAACCACCC